CCACCACAGTTACAATTATCAGCACAGAGGCAATTTTAGTACTTGGCCATAAAATACACTTAGTTAACTTCTGTGGAGCCTTGATTACTTTCTGGCTGCTGTTGCTAACATTAGAAATATTTTTGGTTCCTAATGCAAATGTATTTTAATAGGTAATGAGACAAAGTATGGTAGGCATAACAAAGGTGCCTGCTTGGGCTAAACCATGTCACCTTCTCCACCTGTGTAATGATTTCTTTATTGTTGTTGGTGGTTGACATTGACATTGGTCATTGACAGAACTGGCACGGACATAAATGAGCAACATAGAGGACTTTTTTGCATTCATATTCTATATGATAAGAGTTTAATATTTTATATTAATATCCACTTTTCATCATCATCTAAATGGAACTCCTGTGCTACTGAAAAATTCAATCCTGCCTGTTTGTCCATTCCCTTATAGAAGCGTTTAGGGTTTTTTTTTAACCCCAGATTCTACACTTTTAAGAAAATAGATGAAGCTCTGACATTCCTGTCTGAGTCCTTTGGGTCCAAGGACAGTGCTAATGCCTTCCTCCGAGCTAATCAAGTGCACGTGTCCCGAATGTGTGGGGTTGACTTTCCCCAGCTGGGCTGTGAGCACCTTTTCAAGCGATCTGGCACTTTGAATCCCCACCCAGGGGCGCAGCCCATGAGCGCCCTGCAGCTGCAGCTGATGGCATGTAGATCAGGCTTTTGAAGATGGCATCGAGGTGGGCAGGCATAAGTAAGTCCAGCTGCTTCCCTTGGAGAGAATTAAGCCAGAACCCAGAAGTGCCAGCTCCCAGACAGGAAGCTGAAACCTGCGTGGGGTGTTGTCAGCCTAGAGGCGTGCACATCATCCTGGCATCTGACTGCCCAGGCTTTCCTGTTTAGAAGTTGCCTGGGACCTTCTCGCCAGTCTCATCCTTCAGTTCCAGTTCACAGAATCATCACTGCCCATCCATTTGGCCTGGCTCTCATCTTCCACATGTGCTCTCCTGGCCAGTTTCCTCCATGCATAGAGTCCTTTTCATCGAGTTACAAATCGAGTGGCAGGAACAGACACACACAACAGAACCCACACAGTTCAAGTTCATGGTTTCATGCTGGGTGGGGGCAAAGGGAAGGAGAGTTGATTCGTACTCGGAAGACACTGAATTCATCCAGCCTCTGTTGATTGACTCCTGTGGTTCGGTCAGAAGCCATACTCTTGGTTAAATAAAGAGTCCTTTTCTCCTTCCACTCTGAGGGGAGACTTCCTGGACCTGTCCCATAGCTGTTCTGGGGCGAGGAGAGTTGGGGACATATGGTGGGGGGGGGGAGCACTAATGTCTTTCTTAGTGACTCATTTGATGATTACTCCATTGTTCAAAGGACTGGATGTTATGTAATCAACATTTTATCCCCTCCCCCCACTTTTCCCCCTCTAACAATCTGGGATTTTCCATCATTTTGTCAGTCTTCCTGGAGGCATGTTGATTTTTCCACTAGGTTTTTTTGGGCATGACCCAAAGCAACCCAAACTCTCTACTCCCTGGAACTTCAGATCCCCCTCGGTGCAGGGCCTGGGAGAGCCATGGCTGTGAACCCTCCTGTCCTTCCAGGGCAGTTTCCTGACAGCCTGGCTCAGAGCAAGCTATGGGAAAGTGCTGCCTGCCCTTTTTTCTCACCTCGTAATTTCCATTCATTTTGACATTCAGAAGCAATAGACTTGCTTCTTTTTTCAGAGGTCATCAGTTGTCATTTTTTTGGCCCTCCTTTGTGTTTCCATGTTATCCAACCAATAACACATTGTGTATATCCAGGGAACTTTTTGGACTTCCCAGGTGGCGCTAGTGGTAAAGAACTTGCCTGCCAGTACAGGTAGACCTGCTAGTGGTAAAGAACTTGCCTGCCAATACAGGTAGACCTAAGAGTCGCAGGTTCGATCCCTGGGTGGGGAAGATCCCCTGGAGGAGGGCATGGCAACCTGCTCCAGTGTTCTTGCCTGGAGAATCCCATGGACAGAGGAGCTTGGTGGGCTACAGTCCATGCGGTCACAAAGACACAACTGAAGTGACTTGGCCCACTGGGAACTTTTTAACCAGCCAGAGATGGCTGGTGGAGGAACTTCTCAGTGGCCCTGCCTGGAACTCAGCCATTTTATATCCGTTTCACATGAAACATGGAAGATTCAGCGAGAGTAGGAGGACTTATGTAAATGACTGCAGTGAAGTGCATTGATGTCTAAAGGTCACAGAACAGCTCGTAGGAATTCTCGTCATTTCTTTTTCGCTTTTTGTTGGAAATTGTGCCTGAGGTGGATTTGGAGGACTTTTAACTTGAACCATAGCTACATGTCTTGGCTTTGAACATGGTCTGCAAGTACAAGAGGGATTGGATACAGCAGAGATGAAGGTACATGTGACAGTAGCAAAGGACCCATTTGTGATTCTACAGATGTTGACACCTCACTCTTCTTCACCACCTACATGAGTCAGGTTTGTAGTTATTGTCTCCTCTATGCACTTCACATCTGCCAACTTCAGTTTTTCTGTAGAGCCACCTTCCTAAGTAAAGCCACCATCATCCCTCACCATAGCTGATGCAGGAGCTTTTTAACAAGGCTTCCTTCACCCATTCAGAAATACCTCCTAAACCATATGGGGCAGCTAAAAAGGAGTTTTTTTTTTTTTTCTCATTTTTAAAAATTGTGGTAAAAATGAATATAACATAAAACCTACCAACTCAACCATTTTTAAGTTAGAGTTTGTGCATGCATGCTAAGTCACTTCATTTATGTCTGATTCTTTGAGACCCCATGGACTGTAGTTCGACAGGCTCCTCTGACCATGGCATTCTCCAGGCGAGAATGCTAGAGTGGATTGCCATGCCCTCTTCCAGGGGATCTTCCGACCCAGGGATCAAACCCATGTCTCTCATGTTTCTTGCATTGGCAGGTGGGTTCTTTACCACTAGCACCATCTGGGAAGCCCTGATTACAGTTTAGTGGGGTTAAATACATCCATGTTGCCATCACCACCATCCACCTCCAGAACTGTTTTCATCCACAGAACTGAAACTGTTCCCAAGACACAACTCCCCACCCCTTCCACCCCATTCCCTCCTCCTTCCAGGCCCTGGCAGCTAACAGTCTACTTGCTGACTATAAATTTGTACCTCATATAATCTGTTTTTTCGTGACTGATTTATTTCATTTACCATAATGGGAAGTCTCATCCATGTTGGAGTGTGTGTTAGAATTTGCTTCGTTCTAAGGCAGAATGATATTGTGTAGTATGTATAGACTATTGGTGCATTTTGCTTGTCCTTTCATCTGTTGATGGACAGTTGACTGCTTCTACATTTTAGTGCTTGTGAATAATGCTGCTATGAAGATAAATGTACAAATATCTCTTCAAGACTCTCCTGTCAATTTTTCTAGGTATATGGTGGTGGTTTAGTCACTAAGTTGTATCTGACTCCTGCAACCCCATGGACTGCATGGCAGTCCTGCATTGGCAGGTGGGTTCTTTACCATCAGACTACCTGTGAAGCCCGATGTGCACTGTGGTGGGGTAAAATCATGCAGCCACTGTGAGGAAAATAGGATGGAAGCTCCTTGAAAAATTAAAAATAGAATTCCCGTAGGGACTTCCTTGGTGGTCCAGTGATAAAGACTCCGTACTTCCAATGCATGAGGAGCAGGTTCAATCTCTGACTGGGAAACTAAGGTCCCACGTGCTGTGCAGTGAGGCCAAAAAAAAAAAAAAAGAATTAATACAAGGTGATCTTCTTCAGACAAAATATAATCATGTCATTCCTCTGCATACAACTCTCAGTGCCTTTCTGTCTTACTCAGGACACAATTATAAATTCCTGAACACCCTCCTTATTTACCTTTTCAACCTCCTCTCAAGCTGCTTTCCCCAGTCACTGCGCTTCAGCTCCCTGACCTTTTCGATACTAAAGCAACCGAGGTTCTCCTCTTCCCTCGTCTCAGAATCTTCAGCTATGCTATTCCCTTCATCTAGGATCTCAGTCCTCTAATATCAGTGCTCAGGAGGGTTGCCTGGATTCTGTGTTGAAATGGATTTCCGGGCTCCGCCCCCTCAGAGGTTGTAATTTAGGAGGTCTGTGTGAGGCTGAGTTCCCAGGTGATGCTGATATGGCTGGTCTGGGGACCACACGTTGAGAACCACTGGTCTGGAGTAATTTTCTTAAATTCCTGTATCCTGTCTCCTTCAGATCTCAGGTCAAACATCTGTCTTCTGAAGGAGGCTTTTGCTGATTCCTTCAGACCTATAGGGCACTCTATTATGGGTTAACACTTCATTTCCTACTCCTGTGAAGCCCTTGTTGATGTTGTATTTGAAGTTAAATTGTGCAAATAGATTTTTACTAACCGATTTCCCTGCTGGAACATGATACCCAACTCCACCAGGGTGGGAATCATTTCTGTCTTGTTCAGTGTTCTTTCCTTAATCTCTTGCATGTAGCAAGGGCTAAGTAATTACTTATTGAATGAATGCTGTTATTTCCTTTTCAGAGGTAACAGCAAGTGTGCAGAAACATTAATATTCTCAGTGAATGTGAAGGATGAATAGAGGCTATGGGGAATTGGTAGAGCTATTCAGAAAGAATTAACATATTTTGTCAGAGATACAGACATTCAAGGCAAGAGTCAGGAGTTTTTTTTTTTTTTTTTTACAGACCCTACCACACTATGGAAAGCCCCCCAAATTTTACCTGCCCTGGTGATGATGCTACTACAGTTATTTCTCAGCTTGCCTCTTTAAGCCCATTCATGCTCTATTATATTTTATGGGTGGTTAATTATCTATTTAGTTTCATTTTTAAATTGAGGTATAACTGACATATATTTATTACTTTCAGGTGCATAGCATAATGATTTGATATTTGTATATATTGCAGAATGATCACCACCATCAGTCTAGCTTACGTCCATCAGCTTTTTCATTTTTGTTTGTATTCATATGATATTTTTTGCCTTGCAGATATGGAATGTGCAGATGTCCCACTCTTAACTCCTAGCAGCAAAGAAATGATGTCTCAAGCCTTGAAAGCTACTTTCAGTGGTTTCTCTAAAGAGCAGCAACGTCTGGGAATTCCAAAAGGTAGGTTTTGTAGTTGGAAGGAGAGAGGATGGACCAGACTTTGAGATACAGTTGGTTTTCTCACCTGTTGGTTGAGATAGACACTATTACTCACTACCCTCAGTCAGCAACCACAGACTGGGACAGACGTCTGTTGGAACAAGTGTAGACACATGCTGATGCTCCCTCATCTCCCAGGCTTGTCCCTGCCATCTTGGTCTTAGGGCAGTGGTGCCCAAACTTGTTTGAACATTAGATAGGGGATTGTCAGAAAATTCCACAGCCCAGGCCAGATCCCAGACCAATTAAGTCACCATTGCTGGTCACATCAGTAATTGTAAAGCTCAAGTGACTGCTGTACAGACAGGTTTGAAAGGCATGGTCTTGGTGTCATTCTGGGGTGCCATTAGATGAACTCCATGAGCTACAGTTCTGGGAATTTACTCTTTCCCATGTCCTTTGGTGAAATGTGTTTATACTTGGGTATTCTCCTCTGAGGGCATTCCAGGTGCTCTAGTGGTAGAGAACCTGCTTGCCAATGCAGGAGGTTTGATCCCTGGGTCGAGATCTCACGGAGGAGGGCATGGCAACCCACTCCAGTATTCTCGCCTTGGAGAATCCCATGGACAGAGAAGCCTGGCGGACTGTGGTTCACAGGGTTGCAAAGAGTCAGACACAGCTGAAGCGACTTAGCATGCACGCATTCTCCTCTGAAACGGCTTATTTGGGAATGTAAAGGGAAGTGAATTGTAGTGGTCAGAAAGGAAAAATGACTGCGGAAGACTTAAGCCTTGACCAAGCGGCATTTCCCGAGCAACTGAGAGCAGAAGGAACATGTTTCTATTGAGTAAGAGAAACAGAGGCTGCCTTTGCACCCAGCCAGAGCTACTGCTGCGGGAACGGCTTCCACCCTGCCAGACACAGGCCTCAGGGAGATTGCATGAATGAATCTGTCTACCTTTCCACAAAGAATAATAATCTGCTTTCCCACAAACCTCCGCTGATAGCGGAGCCCAGTCATAAAGCAGAATAAAGTGAGTTCTGACCATCCACTTTTCCACCATCTCATAAAGTCATCTTCTAGATTGAAGGGGATAACAGTGAGAGGAGGTGTGCTGTAGGCACCACACCCTGCCATCACCTGAGCCCTTTCAGGGTCATGAGCTGGTGTAGTCATGTTAAACCAGGGCCGCACATGAAGGATATATATCGTCTGTTCTACCTGGCTTCTCAATGCAGGGCCTGTCTTATGTATATATTTTGCAGGTTATCTGGTATAATACAGGTACCTAATAACATTGTTGGGCTTCCCTGGTGACTTAGTGGTAAAGAATCTGCCTGCAATGCAGGAGACCCGGGTTCAATCCCTGGGTTAAGAAGATCCCCTGGAGAAGGAAATGGCTACCCACTCCAGTATTCTTGCCTGGGAAATCCCATGGACAGAGGAGTCTGGTGGGCTACAGTCCAGGGAGTTGCAAACAGTTGGACATGACTGAGTGACTAACACACACACAGGATAATGTTGTTACTACTAAGTATCACTTGAATGGTGCACTGTTACTAATTGCTATGATTACTATAGTTGGCCCTCCACATCCAAGGGTTCCATATTGGTGGATTCAGACAACCACAGATCCGATTCTGTTGGCTGAATCTGGGGATGTGAGAACCCACAGACACAGAGGGCTGAGTGCACCCCACCCTTTTGTATATATGAGGGAACATGCACCTCCCCAGATTTTGGTATCTGGGGGGGGGGTCCTGAAACCAATCATGTTGGATATGCAAGGACAACTGTACTAACCGTCATTAACTAAGAAGAATAATTAAGCATAATGGCCACAAGTAAATTACATGAGTAAGTGGAGGGAGAGGTGAGTGCAACGTCCAGAGCACACTTGACTTTGTCATTATTGCCGTTTAAGGAGTCATTTGTTCCCTTGTCCCAGGCTTTAATGAAGTCTGATGGAAATAAGGCAGTGAGAGAGGAGATTCCTGGAACCTGTCGGAAGGTTCCATGGGTGGAGAATACTCTTTGTTACTTTTTGGCCAGTGGCAGTGATCAGCTAACTGGTGGGAGGGAGAAGATGGATGCGAGCTGGATGCGGGGAGGAGGGTTGTGGAAGATACTCCATCAGGCCTTCCTCATTCCATGAATCTGAGAATGTCCTCAGCGAAGGTCAGGTGCTTCCGTGTAGTGTCTGAGGCTCGGGGAAGAGTTGAGACCCTGATTTGCTGGGATATCATCTGATCTCTCCCCGCAGACCCCCGGCAGTGGACAGAGACCCACGTTCGGGACTGGGTGATGTGGGCTGTCAATGAGTTCAGCCTGAAGGGTGTGGACTTCCAGAAGTTCTGTATGAATGGGGCAGCCCTCTGCGCACTGGGAAAAGACTGCTTTCTTGAGCTGGCCCCGGACTTTGTTGGGGACATCTTATGGGAACACCTGGAGATCCTGCAGAAAGGTAAATGCTTGAGGATGGGGTGGGGCGGGGGAGGTGGGACCTGCCTCGGGCAGCTTCCGGAGTAGACTGGGGAGCGAGGTGCCACATCGAAGTCGTCATCTGGGTGTCCAATCACAGCACGTACGGTCTATGGAGACTTGCTGTATGGTGCCTGTTAGGGAGCAGGTGCTCCATAAACGTTAGTTTCTTTTTCTTCTATGTACTGGATGCTCCACTTTTTTTTTTTAATGTTTATTTATTTTTAATTGATTCTTGGTTTACAGTATTGGTTTGATTTCTGTCACACATCAACATGAATTAACCATAGGTATACATATGTCCCCTCCCTCTTAAGTCTCCCTCCCACCTCCCGTCCATTCCCACCCCTCTAGGTTATTCCAGGAGCCCCAGTTTGAGTTCCCAGAGTCCTTCAGCAAATTCCCATTGGTTGTCTATTTACATATGTTAGTGTATATGTGGATGCTGCACTTTTCATCTTTACCTCCTAAAGCTTCCCGGGTTGCAAAGTTCTAATCTCAGCCCTTATCTTAGACTCACATACTGCTTGAACAAGCAGCGCCCACAACCAGCAGCAAAAGAGTATTTCTTTCCTTTCTTTTTTTTTGGCAATCGTGAAACACACTCCCTGGATCCACGGTCACATCCAAACTCAGTGTTTCCGAGCTTCTTAATAAGCAGGCTTCTCTGCCCACTAACGGGATTGGAATTGCAGTCGCGAGGTACACCTTTTCCATCTGAAGCAGAAGCGGGGGTTATGTCGGGACACCGTGTTGCAACCTTGTAATGACATGGCCTCTCCTACCAGCCTCTTCCAACCTTTTTGGATCAAGTGACTCATGCACCACAGTCCGGGCTGAGTATAGAAACAGCAGCAGGCGGCAAACTTGGGTGTTTTTGCGCTTATTTTTCTGAATTTCTTCTTAAAATAAATTGCAGTTACCAGCAGTCAGCAGTGCCCTCCAGCTGACTGTAAGCCTAGAAGCCCATTGCCCTCTCTGACCCAGGCCCACCCTTTCCCTGTGGTCTCCAGCTCCAACCCCTGGCGCAGACGCGGGGGGCAGGGAGCAGAGCTCAGGCTTAGCACTTTTTATTCCATATAATACCTTCCTTTGTTTAAGGATATTTTCCATTCTGCAATGCCCAGGAGAGACCCAAATTAGACTCCTCTGGGCACAGAAGTGTTACCCGCCCCCCCCTTTCTCCTTAGCCGTAGCTGAAAAATAAATAAATAAGCAGAATTGAGAAGTAGGTGAATCTGGCCCAGGACTGCTGGGCGGCAGTACTGGCTTCCCCGAAGCCACGCCATGATCTCGGTGTAACTGCACACAAACCACTCATAACGTGTTGACGTGAGCGCTTGTTTATAGAGGGAAAGGATACGGCAGGGACAGAGCAGGTCTGATACAAGCATTGGCTTAGAAACATGGCAGTGGACTCTACCAGACCGTGTCACCCAAATATATGCTGCCAAAGCACCGCTTCCCTCTCCTTAGCGCCCCAGGGCAGCCAGGTGTTCGGGTGTCTCAGCCGGCCTCTGATCAGTTACAGCTCATCTATACAGCATTTCCTTGTTTCCGAAGCATTTGAAAATACGTTTTCCTTTTCTTAAGTCATGAAATTATGATAACACATTTACAGGAGACTTGGACAATATAGAGCAAAGGTACATAGAGCTCCACTCTGTAATTGTTTTTTAAGTAGATCAATTAAGATCTTTAGTTGGAGTTTCAATATCAAACTCTCAAAAATTAATAGGATGAATAGATAGAAAAGTTTGCACTGTGAACCAGTCCGTTTGGATTCTAAAAGCATCCCTGGGACACAGGAAGGGCATGTCCTCTTAGACTGAGTCCTTGTCTGTACAATGAGGACCAGTCAGGTGGTTTCCTCAGCATCACTTGTTTCCTTAAACCTGGGGCTTTTCAGTCAAACTTCCCTTCCTGTGTTCTTTGTGTAGTGATATGGACTCATGGGGGAGCTTCTGGCTTTGTTGTTGTTCAGTCACCAAGTCATGTCTGACTCTTTGTGACCCCATGGACTGCAGCACGCCAGGTCTCCCTGCCCCTCACCATCTCTCAGAGCCTGCCCAAGTTCATGTCCATTGAATCGGTGAAGCCATCCAACGGTCTCATCCTCTGTTGTCTCCTTCTCCTCCTGCCTTCAGTCTTTCCCAGCATCAGGGTCTTTTCCAGTGAATCAGCTATTTACCTTGCTGCAGAGGAATCATACCAGTGAATTTAGGAGAATGAGAGCGTAATGGAGTGAGTTTGAGAACATCTCACCCATTGTCAAGGGAGATGGAGGACTGTGCTTCTGCAGATCCTCCAAGAGCTGAGCGTGATGTTTGTATTGAGGCTACAGCTTTTGTTCTGTGATTAAAGTAAGGCAACCCAGTGCTGAAAAAAACATAGCTGTTCTGGGTGGGGTGGCAGGCCAAAGGTACAGGGGATGTTTCAATCTGATAAGCTGCTGAAGCAGAGTTTAATCATTTTATCTCAGCTGGGAACTGTTTTTCTGTGCAGGCATGAACTTGTTTTCCCAGCAGTCTCTGCTCCCAACAAGCTATCAAATACCCGAGGAAAAACCCAAACCAGCCCCCTCTGTCTGCATCTGATTCTTAAAGTGAAATGTAATCCGACTGTTCCATACAGTAGTCAGGGTCTGCCACCAGATTCCAGGGCCATTAGGGGATCCACAGGATCACTTTCATTCAGCGGAGAAGTTTCTTTGCTTGGTTACCTTCATCTGCATTCTACTTTCATTCCTACGGAGCTTGGCACCCAGACAGAACTTTGGTTATATGGACCTTCTGTCATATTTCACCAAGTAGAGTCACCTTCCTAGTGTCTTATCTGGTCCTGAACTTGAAATCTGAGGGCAACGGAAAAAACACCAAACACCAGGTATCTGTTGGAAGAAGTGGAGGCTCTGAAATCTACCTGCTTGGACTTCCCTGGTGCTTCAGTGGTTGGGACTCCACACTTCTGGTGCAGGGGGCTGGGGTTCAATCCCTGGTTAGGGAACTAAGATCCCCCGTGTGGCGCAGCATGGCCAAAAATAAATAAAATAGGAATAAGAATAATAAGAAAATAATAAAAATCTTCCTGCCTAAAATGATTGTCCTGTGTTTCTGAAAAACTTTGGACCTGATCTGTTTGAATATTGGCGACTGATTTTTGGTAAATTCCCAAGGTGTGGGGAAGATCCCCTGGAGAAAGAAATAGCAATTCCCTCCAGTATTCTTGCCTGGGAAATCCCATGGACAGAAGAGCTTGGCGGGCTGCAGTCCATGGGGTTGCAAAGAGTCGGACACGACTGAGCGACTAAACAACAACAAGATGTCTTCAAGCCTTGGAGGCTGGCGGCACACGCATGCATCAGAAAGAGGGTGGATGCCTTCCCAGCCCTTGGAGATTACTCATGGGCGTGCTTTCCAAGATATTAAATCCCCTTTTCCAGCTACTGAAATCATAAACTTAGCCATACTTTGGTGAGCTCATCTGTAGACAAGGCTCCAGTCAGGGGAGGCTCAGACACTAGCTCAGTTAGGGAACATGCAGATTTTCTCTCAGAGAGACTGAGATCACTGTGGTCCTCGCCTCCAGGGTCCTCTTCTGCTAAGCACTGCTCGCATGCTGACCTCTTTGTCCCCTTCCTTCCTGGTCTGTTGCAGAGGATGTGAAGCCATACCAAGTTAATGGAGTCAACCCTCCCTACCCAGAGTCCCGCTATACCTCGGATTACTTCATTAGTAAGTTCTTTTCAGCTCCTCTTCTCTCTTCCAGCTCACTGTGATGGGAATTTAGGAAAGGAACCCTGTCCTAGGCCATCTCAGGCTCCTGCCTGGCAGTTCTACAGAAAATAATAGCTTCGGACATGTAGACTCTTGGGGACTTCCCTGGTGGCCCAATGGTTAAGACTTCATCACCATCCAACGCAGGGGGTGCAGGTTTGATCCCTGGTTGGGACGCATGTGCCTCGTGGCCAAAAAACCAAAACATAAAGCAGAAGAAATATTGTAACAAATTCAATAAAGACTTGAAAAATGGTCGATAAAAACAAAAACCTTAGAAAACATGTAGACACTTGCTTATGTGCTTTGTTATTCCTGCAAAGCACAAGGTTTCAACCTGTTGAACGTTTTATTCACCTGCGTGCTCCTACACTGGGGTGTCGCTTATATGTTCAGCGTGACAGATAGTCACAGAGAGACTGCGATTTGCTTCCCTCCCGTGGTCCTGTTTGACCCTGGGCCATGTGGTGGCCCACAGAGGTTCAGGTCAGGGATTTTGATCTTGTTCTTTCCTTTTTGCCAGTACATAGAGAGCGTTCCCTTTGAAATCTTTCCTCCAGGGCATGCTCTGCAGCTTTGGGTTCTGTCTCTGAGCAGAAAGCCTTGTCTTCCTGGTGCCCGATCCCTCACCAGGTTGTAGGAATGACCAGAGGAACGTAATTAGTGTAGGGCTGGGCTTATCTGATGGCTTTGCTTTCAAAGGGTGTCTTAAGTAGGTTTGTTTTCGCTTTATCGTTTTACTTTATTATGATCTGTATACTCACAACAATGAATTTATTGTGAGCTAGAAAGGTTGGTTGTGTGCTGTCCTTGGATCTTCATCACAATGCCCTGGGGAAGATTGCCATCATCCCTATTTTAGAGATGAGAAAATTCAGTTAGAAAAGGGAATTGTCTGTCAAGGGCCATAGCCCTTAAGTAGTGGAGCAAGATTGAAAACCCAGGCCCTTTTTACTTCAAGTATTTGTCTTTTATTCCCTAAGCAGTCAACTTGGTCAACATTATGGGGCCGTTGTAAATGGGAAGGGAACAGCCTGTTTTCGGTACTCACCTCTCCTCTCTCCAATCGCACACTCTGTTTCCAGGCTACGGTATCGAGCACGCCCAGTGCGTCCCTCCCTCGGAGTTCTCCGAGCCCAGCTTCATCACAGAGTCCTACCAGACTCTCCATCCCATCAGCTCGGAGGAGCTCCTCTCCCTCAAATATGAGAACGACTACCCCTCGGTCATCCTCCGGGACCCTCTGCAGACGGAGACGTTGCAGACTGACTACTTTGCCATCAAACAGGAAGTGGTGACCCCAGACAACATGTGCATGGGGCGGGCCAGTCGTGGTAGGTCACATTTCTGCTCTACAAGTTTCTAAGAATTGTGTCACTTGGTGTATTGTCCAGGTCCCCCGTTTTTTTTTTTCCACCCTCACTGTTAGCCACGGGCATTCCTGAGTTTTTCCTTTTCCGTCTTAAAATGTCTAGCTGTTAAGGAACTTTGTATCATGAAGTCTTAGCTGAGGCTTTCATGATGACAAAGACTGTGGGTCCATGGTGGAATTGAATTCCAGCAGGAAGACCAGTCACATTTCTTAGTTAGGTACAACATTTCACCAAATAATAACTTTAGGTGCATGTGTGCTTTATTTTCCTTGAGAGGATTTTGCTTAAGGAGGACACAGTCACATAGAAATGATTCTGAGAACCCTCCCGGAGAGAATTGATCTCCGCACGGTCCTGCTGTTGGAATATTCCCCAGTCAGCTTGGTGTCTGAAGACCTCTGCTTCTCAGCCTGGGCTTCCCAACCTCCTGTGACTTCTTTGGTTTGGGAAGATAGAAGATGGTTAACCAACAGCTTATTTGGAACCAGTCATCAGCAGTGTGGTCTAAGTGTGTATTTAGCTAGAGGACCAGGGAAAGAGGTGGCCAGAAGCTTCCAAAACTAGATACTCTCTTACTGCTGTGATTGTTATGACAAAGGTAACATATTCATTGACAGTGAACTATAGGGTTCTGAATAGAGATGACTGACCTTATAAAGCCAAAAAAGGTTAAATACACTCAACTTTAAAGATCAGGACCTAAACACTGAGAGACACAACCTATCTAGTGACCTGTCCAGACTGTTTGCTCTGATAGAAGGACAGTCCTGTATAAAGACTGACTTGTTCTTCGGGGAAGAACTAGCTGATTTTTTGTGTTGTTGTTGATATTCTGGATGTTACCTTTTATCCAAAATGAAACAGAAATAAGACATGATTTCAGATATTATAGAACTCTTCCTAAAATCAGAATAAATTATGTTGCAGAGAAAAGGGAACAGAACCCCAGAAATGTTAGGTGACACATTTTTATTATTATTATTATTATTGAGTTTAAGTGTCCTGAAATTTTCTAATTCAAATATACAGAAGCTTATCCAGGTTCCTGCCAGTCCTATGATCTACTTTTCTGCCAAATATTTGAAATGATACTACAGATCACTCACAGAACTGGCTTGACTGTTCTGATGGATAAACTGGAAAGAGTTACAGACAGGAAGAGGAGCAGGAGAAAGTCTTTCCAAGTGGTGCTTGCAAGGCCTTTGGTCATAGAAGTCAGGCCTGGCCTGCCCCATGTGATTTCTGCTCAGTGCTGACCCCGGCCCCTGTCCTGAGGCCAAGACCTCGCGGGCCTCACATTGTCAGCTCCTTCGAGTGTCCAGGCTTCCACTTCCTCCCAGCAGGCCTGCGGAGGGAAAGTCCCAGCAGAGTCGGAGCCTGTAATCTGCCTCTTTAGGGCCACAGGCTGTTTGTGTTCAGACAGAAGGGGATGGGTGGGACCAGCTTTACCTTCCCCTTTCTTCTTTATTTTTGGATGCAGGTCTATTTAAATACTTAAACTTACATGTGTACCTTTTTTCTCAGGCGGGTCACAGCAACAGAACGCCTGTCTTTCTCATGGGGCTTTCTGTGATTGTGCAGTGAGGCTGTGCATGCGCGCACATGTGTGTGTGTGTGTGTGTGTGTGTTTGTGTTTGTGTGTGTGTGGTGGAGGCCCAGCCTCCTGTCGCTTTGGGCAGGACTGTTGCAGGTTGTTTTCCACTTGTGTCTGGCTTTGTTTTGTGTAATTGGCCTCTTCCCTCTCCTTCTCTTGGTTCCTGCGACCCCAGATGAAGGATGGTGGGCCAGACGGTGAACTGCACAGAGAGCAGGAAGGCTTGCTCTCTGGCCTCTTTCTCCTTTGCTCACACCAAGCGTCTCAGCACACAAACTTGGGGGCAGACCGTTTTGTTCACGGTTGCTTTTTTACGAGTGAGAAGTGCTGCAAACAGGACGTATTCCAGCAGGGCGATTGACTCTGCCATGGCAGGGCTGGGGTAGACTGAAAGCATCACTGTTAGTTGAAGATGATGAACAATAATCTCAGTGTTCCCAGATTGCATTAGGGTAGACAGAGTGTTTCTATTCCACTTCCTTGGACTCAGAGAGCTGTCTTCTTTGTGCTGGTCTGTTGAGTGGGCTGCCACGGGGCTCCCCCACCTCTTGTTTTGGGTGCCCTGAGGTCTGTGTGGTGGGGTCAGGGAGGTTTGCAAGGACCTCCCCGAGACATTTCTCAGGAAAGCTTGCCGATGGATGTCTTAGAAGACATGAGCTTCCCCGCCCCTGAACACAGTAGCCTAACTGAGCGACTCATCTAGTTGGAACCAACCCATTTGGGGAGAAAAATACCCGTAAATGAAGGTTCCCAGCTCTAGGATTGTGAAAGAGAGCTGAAATGAAAGCAGCCTCCTGCTATAAACCGCAGTTCTCAACAGAGTTGCATTTGGCTCATGTTTGAGAGGCTGCCAAGGGGCGGTTATGGCCTTGTTCAGTGTCCCTGCTCACTGGGGCTCCTTGGAGCCTCAGCTGTCCAGCGAGTGGAAATTCCAGCCTCCACACCCTCCAGATATAAAAATGACTGACGGAATCATCTCAGGGACTTTTGAGTGTAAATGCAGGGGACTTAGTGGGGTGTTCCTCATGGAAATATAAACTCTTTCTTAGGCTTTTGGTATGTTTAAGATGGACAGCTGTAATGAGCAAACACCTTTTTATGGGAGGCCACAAAATTTCCTGTTCTGTTGAAAAGAGGCTGCTGCATTCTTGGTTGGGGTCTGTGTTCTTGAGACTTTTAATGTGAATTTCTGGAAGGGACAATCCCTTCTTTTTAAAGTTTTTTTATTTACAATATTTTGGGGGAGTATAGTTGTTTTATAATGTTGTGTAAGTTTCAGATGTAGAGGAAAGAGAATCAGTTTATATATATATATATATATACACACACACACACATATATCCACTCTTCTTTTCCCATGTATTAACTAGATGATACTAGAGTATTAACTAGATGATAATAATAATAATAATAATAATAATAATAAGTTGTAAATATGACAGTGGACTTGGCAAATGGGGCCGACAGCTCCGAGGCTTTCTGGGGATTGCTGTTCTTTGAATGAGTGGTTGGAAGAAGGAATGAGACAAAGCAGATAACTAACTATATTTTTGTTCCAAGCAGTGTTGGAAGGGATAAGAGGTTCAGGAAATTTACAAGAGTAGATAATGCAAAAATTACATATTTAACTTCTTTTATCTGGGGTTAAAAATCTTTTTTGGAAGCGATATATCTTCCTTCCTAATTACTGTATATTTAATTTTGGTTTGGACACCAAAATTAAATATTTGAATTTCATTGTCTTAACGAATTTCCTCTTTTGTGAAGGGGAGGATACACCAGAAATTTACTAGTGTTACTTTGTATATATACCAGCTTTCTTCTGGGATTTAAACGTCAGAGTAGGCCAGCCAGCCTTGACTCACAGGTATTTCCGCATGCACATTTGTCACATCCTTTGGCCTCTTGACTTTGCTGGACTCAATCAGCCATTTAATCTTCCATGATTTAATTGAGGTTGCCTGGAAAGTATCTGGAAATAAAACATAAAAAATATTCCTGTGAGCCTTTTCAGCAGTTAGCTGCTTTTGTTTTTGTCTCCCCCGTTTTCAGCCTCCTTTTAAATGGCATTTTTTGCCAATGGAAATTTCTCTAGGAGCTATTATGCAATCATAGCAGCTGTTTATAACCTGGTTTGGGAAATTAATGAACTTGCATGATCTTGTGGTCAGTTAAGAATGCCTTAAGCAACTCACAGAGTAAAGGATTTCTGCCATTGCTACGGACCTTAACTCTTTAATCAGCTTCTTTGTTTTTTTTAATTACCTTCGTTTCCCTAATAAAGCACACATTTCAAGTACAGATAGTGCTTGGTAAAGAATATGGATTTCTATTTAGAAGAATGATAATGTTTTCTTTTTTAACCTCCTGGAAAAAAAAGATCTCATGACTTCTTTTTCTATTTGAGAAGGCATAGAGGCAGTATGATGTACATTTCAAGAGTGTTTGGAAAAAAGGCTAAAAAGTAGTCTTAGTTCCAAGGTCAAGGAAGGTCAATCCTCCTAGTGTAATGGAATTTTTTTTTTCTTATGACCAAAATATTTTGCCAAATGGAGCCTTTTGAAAATCTCCCTGGCTTGAGTTAGGGTAGAGGGTGAGTTGAGCCTGATGCAGCTCAGATTTCTTCATCCACTCATTGGGTCTAACTCATCGGCCAGAAATCTCGTCACAACAGACGTGTTTCTCAGCCTGTAGGTTTCTGGTTCTGGAATTCTTGTCCTCCCAAACACTGCCGTCTCCCCCTGGCAGAGATGAGTAGCAACACCCGGCTCCGAGTCTCGGTCCTAGGGGCTCTGGAGCAAGGCCGGACCCTGCAGGGGGCTCCTGTTCCCCGGAGCAAACGTGCGCACCTCCTTTCCCGCCGGCCGCCCCCTCTCTGTATCCCTCCTGCGCATCCTCACCGAGAGGGTTTCACAGTGTCTCTTCCCGCCCCTCCTCCCCGCCCTCCTCCCTCCTCCACCTCCTCCAGGTAAGCTCGGGGGCCAGGACTCCTTCGAGAGCATAGAGAGCTACGACAGCTGCGACCGCCTCACCCAGTCCTGGAGCAGCCAGTCGTCTTTCAGCAGCCTGCAGCGCGTCCCCTCCTACGACAGCTTCGACTCCGAGGACTATCCAGCCGCCCTGCCCAACCACAAGCCCAAGGGCACCTTCAAGGACTATGTGCGTGACCGCGCTGACCTCAACAAGGACAAGCCCGTCATCCCTGCTGCAGCCCTAGCCGGCTACACAGGTAGGATGCCTGGCTTCCTCCCGCCCGCTGGGGTGGACTCCCGGGACACTTCCGTGCTGTCCCCAGCCCCTAAGGTCACCCCCTTTCTTTCTGGGGGAGACGTCGACTCTGAGAGGTTGGGTCAGCCTCTCAGGCCCCTCTGCAAATAGCCATTGGGTTTTGGAAGCAAACCGTATCATTCTATTTCAAGGGAGTCTTTCCAAGAGAGCGGTAGGGAAACTGATATCTTGGATCTGTAACTAGGGGCAGGGAATTCTGTCGATGCGGTGCTCCTGAAAATTCTGCCTTCTGGCCTAGCATCAAGGGGCTTCTCCTCGCCTGCTCTTGGCGGTCTCTCTGAACACAGAGCCAGCAGCAGCATTGCTCAAAGCCATCAATGAATGGGTCTTCTCCCTGGACTCATCGGCAGTAGAATCCTCACTGTCAGGCAGGAGTACAAATGGGAAAAGTGCTCTCAGTCACCCTACACTCTGGCTAGATCCTGGGCTCTAGAGGAAACTTCTTCTCACTGAGCTTTATTATTGACTTTTTTCCCCCGGAGTGAAAGTTGTAGTCATGGTGAACAAAAGAAAGATTGTAGAGAAAGGAAGGTGTATGTAGAGAGCTTGGGCTTTGATTGAGAATCTGATTATAGAGCAAAATGATTCATTCAAACGAGGTGGGGCGCAGAGGCTGTGTAACCTTGGGAAGGTGTGAGCAGTGTATCTGAGAACTGTCCAAGGAGTAGGAATATATTAATGATCAGAGGTTTTCTGGAAGATTGTGCCTGTTCAGTCGCTTCATCCAGCACTTTGTGACCCCATGGACTGTAGTCCATCTGGCTCCTCTGTCCATGGGATTCTCTGGGCAAGAATCCTGGAGTGGGTTGCTATGCCCTCCAACAGGGGGGCTTCCTGACCCAGGGCTCGAACCCCTGTCTCCTGCAACTCCTGCATTGCAGGCAAATTCTTTACTGTAGAGACACTGGGGAAGCCTGTAAGATTGTAGTATTTTCTAAAAATCAGAAATTGTGTTGTGAGTGGAGCTTGTTTTAAGCTTCAAGTGCACAGTGGTGGTCTTGGCCTCTCTTGCAATTTATCTACCCTGGACGGGTCACCATGTGGGGACCTTTGTGTGGATGAAGACAGACACCTCAACCTGCATTTCTAGAGAGGTGTCTATCTGATCTTAAGACTGAGCTCTATCCCTGTTTTTGTGTGAGGGAAAACTCAAGGAAAACCTGCTGACCTTTGAGAACAACTCACATGCTTGGAAAAGTTCCTCCTCCTTCATGGCTCAGGGGTGTTGCATCCCTCCAGCTCTTCATGCAGTTCAGTGCATGCATAGGTGCTCAGGAGTTACGTTTGGATTTCAAAGTAGTGACCAGGACTATATACAGAGTCATGGGCCAGAAAGGGGCTTAAAAGTCACCTACTTTTTTTTTCCTACAATATTCCCCAATCCTTGCTTGAGCATCACGAGTAGATGGGAAATCACTGTTCTGCAAGGGGGCCAGCCCCTTCCTTTCTGGGCAGCAGACAGTAGAAAGTTTGTCCCTTTTATTAATGACATCTGGAATAAAGAAAGTATGTCAAGTGTTTTTCAGGGTGTACGAGAGTGCTGTGTGTGCACAGTCGTGTCCGACTCTGTGACCCCATGGACTTGTAGCCTGCCAGGCTCCTCTGCCCATGGGATTTTACAGCCAAGAATACTGGAGTGGGCCACCATTTCCTTCTCCAGGGGATCTTCCCTACCCACGGATCAAACCTGCATCTTTTGCATCTCCTGCATTGGCAGGCGGGTTCTTTACCCCTGCAACACCTGGAAAACCGCTTATAGTAACCCTTAGGTATTTTGAGAACTGGGCTCCAGTTGGGTACACTGATGGAGGAAGAGAAAAAGTTTGCTTAGTTAGGAGGGGGAGAGGCAGAGGTGAAGTGAATTTGGGCTGTGGAGGTGGCAGGCATCTCTGAGTGGCTGTGTTTGCCTCCCTTCTTGTGATGCAAGTGCTGTCATTTGTCCAAGTGTAAAGGCTGCCAGCTCTCCTCCCCCTGCCACCCTGACTTCCAGGACCAAATACTCAATGTAGCTTCTCCTTATTAAAGTTCTTGCCTTATTCCCTCTGACATAATCTCTACCGTAACCACTGTCAGCAGGCATGATCATAATTCTTCTCCTGTAACAGTTTTCATCATTTTGTTTTTGCTTGGTGTACAGTTCTGAAAATTTTGCTAGTTAAGGTGGTTTTGTAGATAATGACATTAAATATACTGACTTCCTAAGTTCTAAAGTTTGGCTTATGGCCAAAGAAAGCCTTATGATTTAAGTCAACCTACATGGAGTAAGATTCTGGTAAGGAATTGTGGCTACTCTACAGAAAGTTTAGAAGTTTCTAGAAATGGTGAAACCCTGATCTCCACCTCAAATAGAAACTCTTCTGAAAAGGGCACGTGTATAAGTTATTGGAGTCTCTTCTCTGATGGGAGAAGCCTGCAGAGCTCATAGTCTACAAGAGTGGTTTGAAGAGTTTCAGCTAAGATGATCTTGACAAGAATTATCTGAGAGTTGGAAATCTCTCCAAATGTCATAGATTCAAGGAGAGAAGGAAAAGGATGACGTGGAATGTTAAGACCTAGGAGTACGAATTTGTACCTGAAGACAGCCATCAGGAGAGCCAACACCAAAATGCCACCTGTGAGCCTTCTCACAGGTGGGCATTTCTCATCCAAAGCCAAACAGATGAGAACATCAGAAGCTCTTTTCAGGACAAATACAGGAATGTTCTGGAAGTCTGAGTTATGTCTGATGTTATCCCTTATTTGGGCTTCCCAGGTGGCTCGGTGGAAAAGAATCCACCTGCCAATGAGGAGATGTGGGTTCCATCCCTGGGTCAGGAAGATCCCCTGGAGAAGGAAATGGCAACTCACTCCAGTAATTTTGCCTGGAGAATCCCATAGACAGAGGAGCCTGGCGGGCTACATACAGTCCATGGGGTTGCAGAGGAGTTGGACATGACTGAGCACGCATGCACTTCTTTGGGTGGATTGTTTTAATGATCGTTCCTTCCATCCTTTTCTTCCTCGCTCTCGTTTCCTCTCTCTTTCTCTGTTTCTGTCTCTAAGGGAATAAAATATTCATTGAATGGAACAAAGGAGAAGATGATTATCAGTTAATGATCTCAAAAACTCATTTGAACTAAAATACAATTTTTAAAGTATCTTACCATTCAGCTTTTTCTTCTTTATAACTGAGGATTTTACTTTTCAAGCCATCTCAGATGGAGGTGCAAACAATAGCCCAGAAAACAGAAGTCCTCCATGCCTCCCCCAGCCCTAACACACTGTGTGATTTTAGGCAAATTTTACCTTGTACCCTCTTCTACTTTTAGCGAAGTGGAAGTGTCCCTCCCTCTCTTGGTAGGAGATCTGTGAGCATGTAATTGAACTAACTCAGTTAATGAGACAGATGAGCGCCAGACAAGTTGCTAGACGCAGGAGAGAAAGCTCAATCGTAACAAATCAATTATTTCAGCAGATGTTTCTGAGCACATGTTGAGTACAGATAAGTGCTCGTAGGCCTGGAAGGTTCACTATCTTGACGAATTCAAGATATTGTCATTGTCCTCAGACTTGAACTGGATTTTCTTATTGCTGTGGTTTGATGAAGGTCAGGATTTGTTTGGCCTGTGGTGTTAGTTGCTCAGTCTTATCCAACTCCCTGCCACCCCATGGTTGGCGTTTGGGGCTTGGTCCAACTTTGGGTGGCTTTCTCCGCCTGCCCCCCAACCCCTTCCCCCCCCTTGCCCCACCCCATGCTCACTGTCTGGTAAATATCTCCTGTCCACAGTGAAAACTATATCTTGCCCCTCACTGTGACCCCTTATCATCTCAGATACGTCCTAGGGAACGGGCCAGGGAACGGAATGTGCTTCCCTAGGCCCCTCCACCACCTGGGAAGTGTGCAGTGACTGGAGTTCTTATAAATGGGTCCCTGGGTCTATGCAGACATGCCAAGATGACCTGAAGTTTGGAAAAGTACTTTGGAGAGTGGAAATCGTTGTACAAGCGTTGGCAGAACTCTTTATTGCTCATAGACATCACACCTGTTTTCTATCTCAAGTTCTGTACTCTTTTTTTTTTTTTTTAATCTGTTTCCTTTAAATTTGCTTATCTCCAGGGTATGTGTGGCCACACAGTAGGAGTACATGTATACCTTGTATGTCACTATTATTTGACCTGAACTAAAGGATGTCTGTATAGATTCCCTGAACTGGGATGTGAATCCATTTTCCTGCCTCTGGGAGCCCAATTCTCTGTCCATTTCACCCTCAAAGGAATACATTTGACTTCTTCTGATGCTGTCTTAGTTACCGCACTGTAAGTGTGGAAATCAGTTAGAAACTGAATTTTCACATTCTCTTGCACAGTTACATTCTTCCTCCCAAGATAAGAAAATTGCATCAACCTTCATTGGGCTCCCATGGCAACTTGTTAAATTAGGTCAAGATGTGGGGGCAGATAACAGGGCTTGAAAGCCTGCCTGTTAGCTGAGTTAAGAATACATCAAATGCAACACTGGCTTCCGCCAGAATGCACCTTACCTTGCTGGGACTGGTTATGATTATCAAACTGATACAATCAGAAAGCTCCATTTTCTTTTGTTTGAAGATACATATGAACCCTATCTGATACAGAGCCATCTGAGAGAAGTGGCCCAGTGCTTTCTGGGTATTTGATGGACCTAAACAAAATGCTTTCTAGATCCTTGACAAACATAGGCATCCCTGATTTTTTTTTCCTCCATTTTAGTAGGTGTAGAATAATATGCTGGATTTTCAGATTTTCCCTTCTCTGCTCCTCCAGTCTCCTTTTATCAATGACAAAACTGAGGCACACAAAAAATGACTTATTTCAGGCCTTCTGCAGGAAGGTAGCTCTTGAACTGAACCTTAAGTGCCGGATGTCTCACCTGAGTATGAAATCTTTCTTTCTCTTTCTTAAAGAATGAGAACACTCATTGGT